TGCCTGTAGGATCCATAAGGGCTGCAAGAAAGAAGAGATGGGGATGTGAAATTGGTTGTTTTTCCTTTAGGATCCGGGACCACCGTTATTTCTCCTGATCTGCTGAATAAGTGATCTGATTCTATAGGGAATTCCTGAACCAGGCCAGAAAGTCGGGAAAAGCGAAGCCTCACCCTGGACAGAGCCCAGGTTAATATTCTTTCCTTAAAACCAAAGAGATAGACAGCCCATTGGCCCTGTCGCTGAAGAGCGCCACCACAGGAGTGGCAGGTTCACACATGCGCACCCGCACATTCACGTGGACACGAGCTTACACAGACACCCACCAGCTCCTAGCACCTGTCTTAGTCCACAGTGATTCCCAGTCACCTCTGACCCATCTTTCCAGAAATAGGACTTCTCTAGTCATTGCTCCGAGACTAGGGTTCCACATTCTCAAGACCCTGGAAAGAGGGAGCATGAGCGCCTGCCGTAAACCAGCATTCTTAAACTCACCCACTCGTAAACCCTGGGCGGGTTTTAAATTTTTTCCACCCCTCTCTCCTCCAAAACAAAATTACAAACTCAAGAGCTATTGACTGCCTTACAAGTCTGGGAAAACACAGCCCTGTCAGTGCTCCCTTTATTGTCACCTTTAGTGACAATAACTAATAATTCAAATATTAATTCTAATAGCAAATAGGAAACATTTACACTATACTTATTGCTGTTCTATATACTTTTTAACATAGTAACTTTTTAATCCTCTTAACAGTCTTATGAAACAAGTCATCATCCCATTGCAGGAATGGGAAAACCGAATCACAAAGGAGTGGGGAGGTGTTCAAGGTCACATGGTTAGTGCTAAGCAGAGTCTGGCTTCAAAGGTTGGGCTGTTACCATGAGCAGGATACTTCACTCAGGGCACTGAGAGGTTTATAGCACCCCCACCCCTGCTCCACATAAGTATTTCAAAATAAGACCAGGACTGAATCATAAATGAACATAAGAAAATACTACAGGATTCTGGTCATTTTCCTGATGACTACATTAAGGCTTAAAGAAAACAAAACAAAACAGAACAATGTTTTCAAACATAGTTTCTCTAGTTTCACCCCTGCTGGGCTTGTCCAAAGCACAGGTTACTCAGCTTAGAGATCCAAGTATTGCTTTCTCCTCCCTCTACCTGAAAGTTCAAGGTCAGTGGAACCTGGTATTTGTTGACGCTCTTTGGGAGGCAAGAAAGGTGTTTCTTGGCTGGAAATGGGAGTGACTCTGGTCATAAATAGTAGGAGGACAGCTGCAAAGTGTGGGCCTATGATCTTTCTTCAGTCCCATGAGACAACCTGGTGTCAATTGAAGAGTCTCTTAGGAAATGAAGGAGGTTGTCCTATACCTGTGTGTAGGTGTGTATGCGTGTGTGAGAGTGCATACTGTTGGAGGTGAGGGCCCCTTCCTGGTTTCCTTGGCACACTGATTTTTCTAGTCACTGAGACCATTCCTGGCCTCCCTTTCACACTTGGGACTTAGGCTCAAAGTGTTTCACCTTGGGTCCATGGTCAAGCTAAATGCATGCTGGGATAGTTGGGGTGCTGTGTCTGTATCCCTCCACCAGGTTGGTTCAAGGGCTATCAGGAGGTGAAGAGCCAGGGCAAACCTCAAGGTTGTGACACTTTCAGGAAGCAAGTGGATTCCGCAGATGAGCAGGCCAACTTAGCTTTGCTCTAGAGGATTCAGTGGCTCACTGGTCTCATCTATCTAGCGAGAGTGGCACCTTCCTTGTCAGAGGCAGGGGTCATTGTGGCCCTATGTGGCCAGAACCTTAGTTATGAAGTTGTGAGACAGCGCTTCTTCACGGCTGAGAGGTGCTAATTGGTTCACATGCTGTTTCCCAAGATGTGATCTGGGAAGGGCCAGCTCCTCCACGTAGTGCATTCCTGAGGCTTCCCCAGGCTACCCCAGGATCCTGGGTAGGATACTGGTGAAGGGAAATGAAGAAGAGAAAATTGGTGGAAAGTGTGAGCAAGAACTGGAAATTGTAAATTCATCTGCCCAAAATTACTTGAGCTGAGGACAGCAGACAACGTTGGTGAATGACTGTACTAGGGATTTTTCTTCCCACCCATTTTTGCACAAGTGTATTTGTGCTGATCAGATTTAGAACAAGTACTTGTGCTTCCATATTCCCAGGATGAAGATACAGTTACTGCCAGCCAGGATCCTCATGAGTCTCCAAATACTTATGACCAGTAGCATTGGCCTTCCTGTGTGTTCTGAGCCTTCTTCCTCTAGAGGGGCCAACAAGGGGTTAAAAGGAAGGCTGGGGGGGGGAAGGGTATGTGGTGGGGGTTGGGGGGGCTTACCTAGTGAATAGGGTGTGAGGCACATTTTACCTGGCAAGCTGGAACCTTCCCAAGAATAAGCAATCTGCCCGTGCACTGACCAGGCCTGCTCTCTGGGAGAAGAGGACTGAGGTGCACACATGTCTATTAATAGCCTCCATGTATATCACAGGACCCTTTTCCCCTGAGCAGTTTCCATTGGGGTTTGGGTTTTGGTTCTCATGAGTTATTTTCTACCCTCTGGCCTCCCCCTCTGCAGTGGGTCATCTGGGGAAGCTGAGCAAGGGGCCTGACTGGTGGCATGTGAGCCTTGGGAGAGGAGAGATGGGCCACGGGGCGGGTGGGTTCTTTTCACAGAAGCCTCCACTTTTGCTATGTGGGGCCTCGAGGGTTAGGGCCGCAGAGAGCTGGGGTTGATTGGAACAAACTAGGCATCTAGGGAACATCTAAGTGGGACATGTGGGAGGCGCTTCGAGTGCTTCAAGACCCGGGGCTCATCCCAAGGGAAGGGACAAATGTGTTCCCTCTGTGCGTTAGGAAGGCTCTCTCAGAAGCTATAGCCTAGAACTACTCAAATAGACTGCTAAGGCTATAAATGCAGGCTCTGCTCTGCCTACTGTTTTAACCTTCTTCTTGCTGGGACCCCAGGTTGGCCATCTTGACAAGAGACTCCATTGCGCTGGTTCACTCACAGCATTGTACCTGAATGCCTGACCAACTCGGGTCAATTTTGTTAAGAAAGAGACAGCATCCTGTGGCTTAATAGCTGGCGTCATTGGATGGAAGTGGTGATATTCATCAAGCCTGTTCCTTATTACCTGTCAGGGATAATGGCAGAGAAATACATTTATCAAGTGTTTTCTTGCTTTGGAATAAAGAAGAATGCAGCTGGCTGCAGGACATCCAGGGATAAGTCCTTCGGGAGTTAGGAAAGAGGCATGGCATCTGGGAGAAAAGTCAGTCCCAGACCTGCAAATTTGGGAGTGATTGAAACCCTGTGAGTTGAAGGTGGACGTGGTGCAGTGGGTGAGATCTTTGAGAAACTAAGCATTAGCAGAGAATGTGACCAAGGGTTAAATCCTGGAGCATGACGCTGGGGTATATCATATTGAGGAATGAAGGAAAGAGGGAAATCATGCGTTAAGTCAAGTTGGTATCTCTGAAGCTAGCCCAGAGCCTAGAATATGCTCAATAAATGTTAATAGAAGGAAGAAAGGAAATGAGGGAGACAGGAAGGGAGGGGACAAAAGCCATTAGAATAGGAAGGAAAGGAATATCAACAATCCACTCTGGTCATTCACTTTAAATATGTCACCACACTTAATTGTCCCCACAACTCAGTAAAATGGAGATAATTACTTTCATATTGCAGATGAGGGCCCAGCAGTTAAGAGACAGGTGCCCAGCGGTACACAGATGGTAAGTGATAGATATCAGATTTGATCCCAGCCAGTCGAACCCCCTTATTCCCTATAGGAGAAAAAAACAGGTCATCTCTTAGAGTGAAAGGGTAGAGAGAATTGGTAGCTTCAAGGGAAAGGGAAGGCCAGTCAAAGTTTGACCTCTGAGTTTCTTTTTAAAAAGTGGATAGAACCTCAAGAAAGGAGGTAATAAAGGTTTGGGGTTGGGGGGGGCAGAGGGTGGCATTTAAGAGGATGGATTGCTCAGTCCTCCTGTATGGCATCTCTAATTTAATCCTACATTTAAAATATTTATTCAGTGCCTACCCTTTGGCAAGGAAAGGCAGGGAATGGCATTCAGGCAGGGGAGTCATGTGGAAAAAGATCTGCAGTCCTAAAATGCTTGAACCGTGTATCATGCATTTTAAGATGGTGCTTGGCAGGGAGCAGCAGTAAACTCTAAGCGCGTGGCTTCAGCAAGTAAGGGGTTCATCTTTCTCATATAATGGGAGGGATGGTGTGGCAGTTTAAACAGGCCACTGAGGCCCCAACTTCCTGTCTCCTCTTGCTCTGCCATCCTTAAATCAAGGCACCTATCCTCTTCATTGTGAGATGGGCTACTGCACCTCCAGATATTGTGTCACTGAGAAGGGGGAAATGATGGGCAAAGCTTTGCTCATTTATTTTGATGGTAAATCTTTCTTCAGGGCTTTTGCTTAACTTGAACCAGATAGAATGGAATCTCTTGGCAAGAGAAGGCAAGAATTTGAGTATTTTCTCTCTTTACTCTCTGTAGTAGAAGGCAAGAGAGAAGAGGATGGGAAGGGTTCTGATCAAGCTAAAGTATGGAATCTGCCATAGTGTGTTGAATCTGGTCTGTTAGTCTGAAGGTATGAGAAGTTACTGGAGATGTGGGCAGTGTAGGGGAACTGAACTTGAGAGCCCCTGGGCTCCAGATTGGCTCAAACTGATTCTAAGGGACCAGGTGATGGTGGCTATGGGAAACTGTCAGTTCTTTCACTGTAGCCCTGGGTTTGGCTATTGGCAAAAAGGATGAGTCTTTCTCTCCAGAAGGGTATATTCTTAAGTCTCGGTAGAGTTTTACGGGTAAACACATTTTCTTGCTTTCTTATCATATCCTTTCTTTCATCCATCCATCCATCCCATCTTCCATCTATCCATCCGCCTATTCATCTGTCCTTCCACTCACTCATTAAGCATCTATAATCTATGTTCCAGATAGACTAACTTTTTTTTCCCTTTCTCTTTCTTTCCCTAGACTGGCCCAAGACCTTTTCCAAACGTGGGAGCCTAAGGATGAAGAGTTATCTAAAACAGTTGCTATTTCAGTCCAGAACTTGAAGTTAAAAATGTTCGAATGGAAAAAAAAAAGTTTAAAAATATAGATGTGTATTTTTCTAAAACCCCATTAAGCTGTCAAGGGCCCTCACTGTGTGTTTCCTTTCCCATCGTTGCTAATCGGCAAGGTATGTGTGTGCCCTAAACAGAAGGGTAGCCAGCTTCCTTCCTGCTCCTGCTCCTCTTTTTCTCCACCCTAACCGCTTCTGCTGCTGCTGGTGTTTGAGCTGTTCCCCCGCCTTGGGGACTCAGGAGCTGGGCCTCCACTACCTGGGGATACTGCTAGATGGAACAGCAGCCCAGCTCCTCCACAAAGGCTAGGATGCCCACAGCACTCTGCAGTGGTACATTTAGACTGCCTGGGCCCCACTTATTGGATGTATAACTTAGAGTGCTTGATTCCTCTGGTGTAGAATGGGAATTGGCAACATTCCCTGCCTCTCCGTGTTGCTGTGAGATGAAATGAACAGAATGTGTACAGCATTGGAGCAGCACCAGGATTCATGTTGGTCGTTATTATTGCCATTATTATTGCTACTGGAACTAGCACCACTATTGTCTCGCTGCTGTCCATTCTTTAGAAAGTCTTAGCATAGAAAAAGTAGAAGATGGATGTTGAGATCTCCTTATCCAAGCACCTAATTTTAAAATAAAAGAGACATTCTTGAAGATGTCCAGTTAGGTATCATGGCAGAGCCACACATGGCTCCAACACCCTGGCCACGGGAACACTGCTTGGGGCACCCCTTGTCCTCCTTTCTTATCCCACTGAATGCCTGCAACAAGGTATTTAATATTTACATTGCTTCTAATGCTGTCCCACCATGTGACTTATTCTGCCTTGCTGATGTCCAGAGGACATATAATGCACACATAACTTGCTCTGTCCCTTGCCCATCACAGCAGCCAAAACAGATAGAGGCCTGGAGAAGAGCTATTTACAAGAGACATCCCAATGGTGAGGATGACGTGGGGCAGTTAGAGGCATGGGACTGGGTTCTTGACTTAGATTCAAGGCAATGTCATGGGATCCTTGTTCTTCAACTTCGCTTTTAGCTAATGTGACATTGTTTGAAAGTAAGCATTTACAAAAGGAGATTTGGGGATAAGTTAGAATACAGAGAGCAGTTTTTAGCCCTGGAGTCACATGATTCTGATATTTATACAGAAAACACAGTATCATTTCCACCCATTAGATAAGAAGCAGGGGAATCCAGGTTCCAGGGATGCTGTGGGTATTCTTGCATACCAAGCTAGGGGGATTTAAGAAGAACCCTTCAAGAAGGAGGTGCAGACATTCCCCAAACATTTCAGTAGCCCATTGGCCTTATTTCTGGTATCTTCACCACATCAGCTGTTTAGAAACCACGTTGACTAACTGTCAGGTGCCTGGTGGGCTGTGTGTGCTAGGAAGGACTCCAAAATGGGTGCATCAAGATCCTAGCTTTTAAAAAGCTTTCAATTTAGTTGGGGAGATAAGCTGTTAGCAGCTTTAATGACAGTTCAGGACATCCCAACATAGCACAGGGCGAGGACCAAATAAATTATAGCCCCAGGCTGCTGTGACAAGGCCCTTGTGCAGAGAGTCAGGAGGAGAGAGCTCTGCTCCTAGGAATCCCAGCGTCGTGCTCTGTGACCTGGGTCATCCTTGACCTTTCTAAACCCTGATGTTCAAATCTGTGGAGGGATGTTGACTTTTCTGGGCTCCTACAATCCTCAGTCTGTAAATAATGGATGCTCATCCCACAGACTTGCTTCAGCTCTCTTGTTCTGTGTCTCTGAACAACAGCCTCTCAAGTTCAGGCCTAGAACTAGGCAGGAGGCATCTAGCATGGCCATTCATGTTGCCTCCCTCTTCCCATATCTGATGCATTCACACTGGGGGCAGAGAAGAAAAAGGAATGCTGGGAACGGACAAGGGATGCTTGAGACAGGGCTGTCTGCTGGGCGAGAGCACAGCTTAAGTCCCTTGTTCACTCTGTAAGATGCACAGAGTCTGAAAACAAAAGCACTTTTATTTTGGGGAAAGCATCTTCTGAACTTGAAAGCCTCTAATACCTTTTCTCATTAATTTTATATGAAACAAGTGTTCAGACAAATTCTAGCACTTTCCTATGGGTCATTCGCTTAAGGAGAGCTTGTGTACAGCAGTGGTGTTGATTTTTGGCACTGCCTCCCTGGGCACTGATCTTCTGAAATGCCTGAACCACACCCTCACCAATACCCATGTGCTTATGACCCCACAAAACCAACCTATTTTCTGCACATGGGCATTTACTAGCCCACTTGACGGGAAGTCTGGAAGCAGATGGTGGTCCTGATTGTTTAGTGGCCCAGGGATTTTGGTGGGGCCTGGGCTCTTCCTGTCCTTCCTGTTTGCCCTCCTCATGATGACAATATGGTGGTCACAGTTGCAAGCAGCAAATCCTTACATGAGAGATCAAAAGCAAAAGTGGGAAGTAACCTAAGCTCATTTCTCTTCACATCTCTCATTGGTCAATGAAGGTCTTTCCCAAGTAGGATTCCTTTATGTTTCATTGGCCAGAACTCAGGTGCCAACTGCAGATCAATCATTGGCAAAAAGCAATTGCTTTGTTAACATAGAACTCTCAAACCCAATGGAGGTATTATCATTCTGGAGTAGGTGTGAAAATTGGTTCTCAGAGGGCTAGAATACCTTACTCTTTTAATATAAAATGTAGATATACACAGCATATCTGCGGTATTACGTTTTCACGGGAGAAGACAATGTAAAAAGGATGTATAATGCAGATTATATTATACACAATGGAGTATTACTCTGCATTAAAAAATGACAAAATCATAGAATTTGCAGGGAAATGGATGGCATTAGAGCAGATTATGCTAAGTGAAGCTAGCCAATCCCTAAAAAACAAATGCCAAATGTCTTCTTTGATATAAGGAGAGTAACTAAGAACAGAGTAGGGACGAAGAGCATGAGAAGAAGATTAACATTAAACAGGGATGAGAGGTGGGAGGGAAAGGGAGAGAGAAGGGAAATTGCATGGAAATGGAAGGAGACCCTCAGGGTTATACAAAATTTCATACAAGAGGAAGTGAGGGGAAAGGGGGAAATAATACAAGGGGGAGAAATGAATGACAGTAGAGGGGGTAGAGAGAGAAGAGGGGAGGGGAGGGGAGGGGGGATAGTAGAGGATAGGAAAGGCAGCAGAATACAACAGACACTAGTATGGCAATATGTAAATCAATGGATGTGTAACTGATGTGATTCTGCAATCTGTATATGGGGTAAAAATGGGAGTTCATAACCCACTTGAATCAAAGTGTGAAATATGATATATCAAGAACTATGTAATGTTTTGAACAACCAACAATAAAAAAATTTAAAAAAAAAAAAGGATGTATAAAAGGCTCCTTAAGGGGAAGGACTGGCTTAGACCAATCATGATTCATTGCTGGCTCCTCAGTACATTTCTTTTGACCAGGAAGTCTGGGGAATGATGGTTAAATAGTCAACAATGTCTGCCATATCCTCCCTAGAAAGAAACATGCTCTTTTGGTGAAACTCAGTGGTATGTGTGTAGGTGAGAGACTTCAAGGACATGCTCTGTTAAAAGGTGGAATCACTGACCTGCTATCAAAGATGGGCTGGGCTGGCGAACAGCATGGTTGAATTGAGCTTGAACATTGAGGGCAAGAGCTAAATTCCTGGGCATAAAAATGGAAATTAACAAGGGACCTGGGAGAAATAACAGAGACATTTAAGGGAAGTTTTTATGAAGTTTGGCTGTGTGGTGAATGACTGTGTTAAATGACTCACAATATATATTTTTTCCCTTTCTGTGTGAGGATCCAGCAAGCTGCCATCTGTGGTTCTAGGTTGTTACACTACTCGGGAGAGTCCAGACCTTTGTGCTCAGTGGAAAAGTTGAGGGACCAATTTTCCTGAGCAGATGGCCAACTCCTCCCAATGCAAGGAATTCAGGGTCAAAAAGGGGTGGCTTGCTTTGGACCACTCCCAGGTTCATCTCAATGCCCCCTCCTTTTCCTCTGATGGAAGGACCACTGTCCTTCTAATTCCTATCTTTGCTTTGAGTCAACTGATATTCTCACCTCAGGAGAAGCTCTGGTTTTGCTAAGTATTCTTTGTTGGTGGAGGTGAGCTGAGGAGGGTGAACCAGTGCCCTGGAGTCGCTGCGAAGCTTCCCACAGTTCTGCATCCACCACCATGTTCACACTCTCCATGTTGGCTACACCAGAGACTTGTCACTAGGCCCGAAGTGTTGCCTAGATGTTTGCTTTGATGGCCTCTCTGGGGTCTAGGAGGTAGGGACAGGGCCATTGTCACACACATTGTAGGAACCTCATTTCTGAAGGAGGACAATGAGATGACGTTCCAGTAACCTGGAAAATAAGTTGGTGCTGCTCATTAGGTAGGACCTTCAGTCTCCTCTCCCCTTGACTGGATCTCTGTAGCCCACACTAATAACTCTTCCTCTACCTTCACTAAAAACCCAAGTAGGCATCTCCTAGGAATTGGTATATAGGTGACGCTTACTCCTTCTTTATGTCTTTCTGTAGACCAGTGGTTCCCAGACCTGGTTGTACTTTTAAATCACTTGGGGAGCTATTAAGTCAACATGGCTGCCCAGAACAGATCAATTCAATCAGGATCACTGGAGGTGGGGGCCAGGCTTTAGGACTGTTTAAAACTCCCAGGTGACTGTGATGTGCCACCAATACTGAGAAGCTGTGTGTGGTGTGGGTGTGTGTCCATGCATGTATGTATTTTTTTTATAGTGAGTACACACTTTATTTTAAAATCTTCAAAGAAAATAAAGCAATTCTCATTGTGGATAAAAAATAACCCTATCTCTGCTCAATTCTTTTAAAAAGGAGTTAGTTCTTTTACTTTTTTAAAATATTTTTTAAATTTTCATTTAAAAAATGATTACATGTCATGAGAAAGTTCATATATTCAGTGTTGAGTATAATGGAAAATCAAGAAAGAAATTAAAACAAAGTGAGTCAAATTATAATTTTAAATATAATTTATATTTCTTTCATTTAAATGAGGTAACGGTATTTTCCATGGCATCTTTACAAGGAGAAAAATATGGAAAAGAAATTTGAAATGAGCAAGAGGTCAACTGAACATATATAGTTTCTGGTGAGCACCAACATATATCCTGGCCACGTGCTGATCTTTAAAAGGGTTCTTTATTTCTCTACTGACCCAGATGATAGTTGTTTCTGGTGGAAGCTGAGATTTCATAACTGCATGTTTAGTACCAGATGTGGTTGTAAAAGTAGTAGGTGCTCAGACTGAGGTCACTCAGAGAAGAAAATAGAAGCATAATTGGTGAAGGAGCACAATTACAAACAGACCTCCAGGGCAGCATGCTCCTGTGTCCTCTGTCCTGGTCACAGGAGCTGTTGGTGAGGTAAGTTGGAAGAGTTAACCCAGGGTTAGTTAACCCAGGGTTAGTTAATACAGGGTTTTCTTCCTAATGACTAAGAGCAGGCATAGAAATAGGCATCTTGTGTTAGACTCTCACAAGTCCCAGAGGCTGAGGCAGAGAGGCCACAAAGCTATAACCCCTGGCAAAGTTGGCAATATCCTAAGCCTATGGGACTCTCAGAGGAGCAGGTGCATGATCTCCAATGAAGCTTTCCAATACGATTAACCTTTGTCCAGATCCATGATAGCTATGTGTTGGTGACCAAGGTGACAGTCATATCCGCTGCTTATTTTCCAAACTGTGCCTTTTAATGTTATCACAAGCAGCTGTATTAATAAAGAACTTAAATTTCTTTTTTAAAAAGAGTGAAAATTAATAATTTTTAAGCCCCTATGCGATCCCAGTGTTTCCTATATCATGTGCAAAGTGACCTGTTTGTGTGCTGAAATCCTTTATGCGCAAAGTAGTTGAACTGCTTATTTCCTGAAATTGGTGCCTGATGAGTACCCGGCAACCAGCCAATAAGATTACTAGATCACCAGCCTTAGCTGCTGCAGTCACAGCACTGAATGTCAAAATGAGATTATAGTCAGAGTCAAAGGACCCTGCACTAGTATTTGGGATTTGACCTAACCCGGGGTCCTCATCTTACAAAAATAGAGGCCCAGGACACTTAGCAAAACAAGGGAATGTGAAACTGTCACAACTCTACTTTTTTGCAAAAATTGGATTAATTAGCTTAGCTATTAAGATGATGTTCTCCAGCCTGGGCCTTTTTGAGAGGGAGGAAATGAAGACACCCCAATACTGCTTTCCCAAACAATCCAAAGAGATTCCTAGGGGCATCCAGGAACCCAGTATGAGCAAGTGCATCTGCATGGTTGAGCCACCTCCCTGGAAAAAATCATGCTCTTTTTTCTTGGGCCCCTGTCCTGTGACACAAATCCAGTCCAGAGACCTTGGTGCTCCCTTAGAAGAAACTGAGCAGCATTTTGAATCCAGCCTTTTGAAAGAGAAGTTAATGTCTTTGTTGGAGGTGCCCAGTGAAGTCCAAGCTCCCTCCCCTCTGCCCCTCCCACAGTCCCCTACTCCCTCTACTGAGGCCCCTTTCTGCTCAGCAGCTGTGACTTTTTGCCTGGTTTCTGTTTCTACTCCCCTGAGATCCTTACTCTATGCCCGCATCTTTCCCCTTGCCCCAGACAGCCCACGAAACCTGGTGCACACAGGCCTCTGCATCCCCACAGTCTCCACTTCAAAGCCCCCCTTGCCATCCTGGTGCACCACAGGGTGGGAGGTCAGGTTTAGTTCTTTCTACTCACTAGCTGGGTAACTGCAAGCAAGGGTGCATTTCCTTTCCTTTCTCTTTTTAGGTACTGGGGATTGAACTCAGGGCCTTGCATATGCTTGGCAAGTGCTCTAACACTGAGCTACATTCCCAGCTCCCTCTCTTTAAAAATTGCCCAGGCTGACCTTGAACATGGGATCCTCTTGCCTCAGCCTTCTGAGTAGCGAGGATTACAGGCGTGCACCCCCACACTGGCTCCATTTCTTTTTAAAAACCAATTTTTTTGTGATTAAATTGACATTTATAAAAAATTCTTCCATTTTAACAGTAGGTTCAATGAATTTTGACAAATGTACATACATCTATGCAAACACCACCCCAATAAGAATTAGAGAATTTCTATTCCCCCCAAAAATCCCTTCCCCACCATCCCAGGAAATCACTGATCTGCTTTTATTATTAATTAGTTTTCCCTGTTCTAGAATTCCATGTAGCTGGAATCATATTGTACATTCTCTTCTGTGTCTTTTTTTTTTATCACAAGTTTTTGAGATTCCTGGATATTGTTACATGTGTCAGTAGTTTGTCTTCATTGCTGAACATTGTAGTGAATGTGCTACATTGTAATCTATTCTTCTGTTGATGGACACTTTTTCCTAGTTTGGAGCTATTATAAGTAAGCTATTATAAGTAAGGCTGTGATAAATTTACATGTACATGTCTTTATGTAGACACAGGTTTCTATTTGTCTTGGGTGAATTTCTGGGAATTTCTGAGTCATATGATAAAAGGGTGTTTGTTTTTAAAAACCTGCCAACATCTTCCAAAGGTATCAGAACATTTCACACTCCACCATCCATCCAGGAGAGCTCTAGCTCGACATCTTTGCTGACATTGGTATTGTCAGTCTTTTTAATTGTAGTGGGTTGTAGTGGTGTCTCATTGTGGTTCTGAATTCCCATAATGACTACTGGTGTTGAACAGCTTTCCCTGTGCTTATTTGGGCATTCGTGAATCAAGAGTGTTATTTTTACCTTCTTTGAATCCCTTCTTGTTTGCAATGGGGATTAATCTTCCTCACCCTCTCCAGAAAGTTGATAGTATCTGCCATGGAAATATTCTTGAAACTCTGAATATTGACATAAATAATGTTACGAGATTCTCTCTCTGAAATGAGGAGCTCCTTCTATTAGACAATGGGACCTTGGAGTACTCACAGTTTTTCTCAGATGTCACTTTGTCATCCTCACCAGTTGAGAAAAGTCCTTGGTTCTCTCTTACCTATTATATGAACTCTAAGATCCTCATTCTGTGTAAAGCCCATCAGTAGCACCCTTTGCCCCCCCCCCCAACTTGGC